ACGTTTCGCTACTTGCCCTTTTGAGGATTAAGTCGGCACAGTCTTATTAGAAAACTTGTATTTTTCATTTGGAGCTATATTGAGGCATTGGAACATTTTTTTTTGTTATTACAACACTATACAGGGCGTAAAAAATTGATTTATATTTTAAAATGATTAAATTAATACAAATTAAAAACATAACAACAAAATTAAATCGTGAACAGTTTAAATTTAAGCAGAATCCAACCCTGTTCCGAGCGCTTACGAGGAGCAACGGAGGCTAGCCCCCGTTGTTCTGTCAAAATTCCATATTGCCTTTGAAAAGGTGCTACTGCCAGTTGTCTTCACACCTGGTATGATATGACGGGATGGTTAACGGTTAAGAAACAAACTGTCACGTTAATTAATTTTGAAAAGTCCCAGGTTCACTTAGGTGTATTTAAGCCTTAGGTCATTCCAGAAGATTGGCGACTACGATTTCATCATTTTTGGGCCCGTTGGTACACGAAATTCATTTATTAGTGTCGCTCAGGGGAAATTCGCATGAAAGTTTTTCAATGTCTCGTTTCAGACTTCAATATCTGGTGTTTTTTTATTGTAGAACTGCATATGGTGCATTCACTTTGTGTAAAATTTAATAAAGGATTGAAAAACTTGAAGTTAATCTCTGTTTCCTTTATATATTCCTTTGCGTAGCAGAAGATGGGCGATATGAAGTTATTTACGGTTGAATAGAAGAAAAATCATAAGATTTCCTGCGCTACTGAATCCTCTAAAGACATTTAGCTTAATATTTTTCAGTCATTACGCCCAGAGGATATTCAAATATATGTATAGCGACGGTAAAATGGATTTATATAAAAAATTCTTCGATCCCTAATCTTCTTGAGATTATCATGGGGGGGTGTATTCGGATCTTAAAAGATCCGATCTCTAATACTCGATCTCATCAATCAACAATCTCATCTCTGGTATCGTGCCTGTCTATATTTCGCAAATATGCGGATGATAATATTTTGTTCGGCGTGCTCCTCTGTTTGATATTCACGTTCTTGAAATTAGGGAGGCTAATTATTTTAAAAGGTCCTTTCGTTCCTCCCGGATAAACATGTCTTTAACGTTTTCTTTCTCAATGGATTTCCTTCGACCGTAAACTCTCGAATACACAATTTTATATTTGCAGCAGATGTGGTGTATCGGGAATGAGTTACGGAATAAACAAATTGGAATAGTTCAGTTATTTATTTGAAATCATAAAAGTCTGCTTATCGGTCTTGCTGCAATTTTTATACGTTTACAAAGCTTATACATATATTTTGTTGGCCCGTATTTGTAGCGTGAATATTGAACTTGTTCCTGTTTCAAAACTTCCATCGCAAGAACACATGAGATGTAAACTGAAATTTAAAGCTGTTTAATCAATTATCTCTAAGGGCATTTTTTAGATATAATTAATTATACGGTAGACGATATAAGAGTCATTGTCTGTTGAATTAATTTTGGATTTGGGAATTATCGCGAGGATTTTTAATTTTTCAGTTTCAAACACAGCAGAATTTGGTGAAGTTGCTTTGTAGCAAATCTTGCCCTTTTGTGTTAGTTATAATCAAAGCATGTTTTCGTATTGTGAAATTTAATTAATACGCCAGAATCTTAAGGTATATGGAAAATTATTGCCCCCGGCGTTAATTTTCAATTATTTATATTAAAAACACGTATCCATATTCATGTTTATCGTTAATTGTTCCACAAAGGGAACGACTAGAACGTTTGGGTGTATATAAAGGTAATGCCAGCGAGATCACTTAATTAAAATCCTCCTTCGTTTGCTGTTATTAACACGGGAAAAGAAAATTCAATGTGTGATAGACTGGGCCACTGTACCCGTACGTTTAACGAAGTTAGCTCGTAGTCAAGGACATGTGAAGGTCAACTCTGTTTTTTATGGTAATACGATGTCCCGAACTCTGAGAGAGGGTCATTTCAACATCGTTTGAGGGTCAAAACCCACTTTTCAACTTCTCAGGGTTGGTATCTCGTCGGGACAGCCAGACATCGGGAAAATGACCTCTACAAAAGTTGTTTCGGTCCAAATTTTATGTTCAGGGATGTGGTTGGGTTGTTTTTTCATTTCCAAGATCATTTGAAGGTCAAATTGGCCTCTCGAGCTTCTCAGGATAGCGGGATATTGGAAAAATGACCTCTACAAGAGTTGCTTGACCTTCAAAACCATGTTCAAAGTTATTTCATTGTCAACTCTTGTTTTTTTAAGGTAATACCTCTAAATACTGCATGGACCATGCCACATATCCCTTTTCGGAATAATGTCACCATCTCCGTCATATTTGACCTTCAAACGACTTTGAAAATAAAAAATTAACTCTACCGCATGTCCGAACATAAAATTTCTCACCCTTCTAGAGTCCAAAGTCAGAAATGATATTACCGCAAGTAAAACAAGAGTTGACCTTCAAGTAACCTTGAATATGGCCTTAAAAAATAAATCGACCACATGTCCAAACGAAAAACTGCGCGCTCATTCAGAATGCGGGGACAAAAATTGTACTACCATCAAAAAAACAAGATTGACCTTCAAATAACCTTGAGCAAGAGCTATTTTCTTCAAACGGTACAACATTTGAATTCGGCGATCTCAAAAGTGTATGTCTAATCTTTATACGAGTTTACAATTTTTGTGCAGATTGAACCTCGTTGGAAATTTACGATCTCGTTAAGTTGCACTTTGGGTTAATTTAAAACTTAAGCCTTATTAGCAGGATTTATTGCAGCCGTGGAATTAAACAAATGCTCGCCCGTGCTAATTGCAGTAGAAATTACGATATGAGTGTGAGTAAATTGTTACGTGTAGCTCCGGCTAATGATCATTATTGGTCTTCGTGTAACGCGCCCTATATACCTTTTATTTATAGCGGGCTAAGTATACCATGCCATCATGAAGGGACTGTATTAATTGAGTATGGAGAGTAACCAGGCCGGGGAGAGTAACCCTCTGTCACCCCTTGTTATTCTTGATGTTCCCAGATTAATAGTTAATCATGTTCTCTAAAGGTATGTCAACGCGCAAATTGTAGCAATACGATTTATGTCAAAGCGAAGCGAAAATCTACATTAAAAACAGTGAAGTGCAGAATTGTAAATTTACAGTTACATTGTAAATTGTCCTGTAAAATTACATTCTACTTTAATGGGACATTTACGGTAGATTAAAAAACTTACTAACCACAAGAATGTAATTTTATCGTAAAATTACATTGGTGCAAATTTTAATTTTAATTAGGTCTCTTTTGAAGCATTTCGATTAAAATGTATGTATATCTTTGACTCACGTAAAAATTGTTGTAAATATGTGAATTTACACACTCTATTTGGGTGCAAAGTTGTATTTAGATTTGTATGAAACATGAACATAAATACTAACAGATTAGAGCATGGTTTTTGCTTAAAGGTAGAAATAAAGAGCACTCATCAGTGTATATTTACACAAAAAAATGGATCTCCATTGTAAATTATCGATTTAATGAAAATATTTATGTAATTGTATTTATATCTGTAATATCAGCGTAAAATTACAATTAGTATTTTTACAGCATTTTCCGGAAAACTGTGTATTTACCTATGTACCTATCTATTGTTAAAATAAAGGATATTGTATGATAATTTAATATAAAGAAATAGGTATATCCCGCCTTTGCTTAAGTGGAAAATACACAGCAGTCGTCAGTGTACAATTACATGGAAATTGCATTTAACTTACAGAAAAAGGATATCCATTGTAAATTACCGATTTAATGAGGATAATGTTTGCATAATTGCATTTGTTTTACAGTTAAATAAATAACATGTAAAATTACAATAAACTAGTATTTTTACATATTCCGAAAAAAATTTACTTATGTTTCAGTTATTATAAAGGATATTGTTTGATAATGATTTAATATAAGTAAACAGACAGATCGTTATCTTTGCTTAAATGTAGAATACATAGCAGTCATCAGTGTAAAATTACGTGGAAATTGCATTAAACTCACGGAAAAAGGATATCCATTGTAAATTACCTATTTATGAGAATAATATTTGAATAATTGTATTTGTTTTACAGTTAACAAAATAAAATGTAAAATTACAATGAATTAGTATTTTTACATTTTCCAAAAAATATTTATTTATGTATCATTTACTATAAAAGATATTGTTTGATGATGATATATAAATAAACAGTCAGATCGTTATCTTTGCTTAAATGTAGAATACATAGCAGTCATCAGTGTAAAATTACATGGAAATTGCATTAAACTTACGGAAAAAGGATGTCCATTGTAAGTTACCGATTTAATGAGAATAATGTTTGTATAATTGCATTTGTTTTGTAGTTAAATAAATAAAATGTAAAATTACAATGAACTAGTATTTTTACATTTTCCGAAAAATATTTATGTATCAGTTATTATAAAGGATATTGTTTGATGATGAATAAATAGACAGATCGTTATCTTTGCTTAAATGTAGAATACATAGTAGTCATCGGTGTAAAATTACATGGAAATTGCATTAAACTTACGGAAAAAGGATATCCATTGTAAATTACCAATTTAATGAGAATAATGTTTGTATTGTATTTGTTTTACAGTTAAATAAATAAAATGTAAAATTATAATGAACTAATATTTTTACATTTTCCAAAAAATATGTATTTATTTATGTATCAGTTATTATAAAGGGTATTGTTTGATGATGATTTAATATAAATAAACAGACAGATCGTTATCTTTTCTTAAATGTAGAATACGTACCAGTCATCAGTGTAAAATTACAATGAAATTACATTAAACTTAAAAAAAATGTTTAATTATGTAAAGTGCCTATTTGTATTGTGTGTATTTGTGCATTTATGTCCATAATGTAAATATGACAAATGGGGACAATTTCGCGATGAAGACAATCTTTGTTGACTGAAATTCCTGAATATTTAGCTCGCTAAAAAATGAAACCCTCCTTACCAGCATACGCTTCTCGTATTCTTCCTCGATGACAGTTCCATTGTAGTAACGGCGTTCCGCTTTTATGTCCGGGAAGTAAAAACCAGGTCGGCACACGCACTTGTAGCTGCCTCTCCTGAAACCTAGTCCCGGAATTGGAACGCACTGGAACAATGACAGAGAAAATTACAAGTAATTTCCCGATTTTTCACTTGTCACTGGAATGGTAAAAACAAATTAGCGTCAGCGCCAAAGGGAAGCTTCCCCGGGTTATAATTTAATTTCCCGTGAAAGTTTCATTTTAACAGGCCGCGTAACCAGGATCTTGACGACGTGTATTGAAACTGTAACTTGGTCCTAGTTTTTTTTTTTCGTTACGGTAGATTTTCCTAAACACCGCTATTAAAGTTTAATTTAACTGTCAGTTATTACTAGATGGGCGGGCGAGGAAGTCTACGAGTATATTTTACAAGATTGCAATTCGTTCAACAGTTTGAAGTAAAAATAGCTTTCTGCAACTGACGCTCGTTTTAATTCAATTTGTGAGTCTCACTTAGATTACTATTTAAAGTCGGTGCGGACCCGTTGAATAAAACATTTCTTGAACTACTGCTGTTTCTACGCAAAGTACATAGGAACGCATTTAGGGAAGTCATAAAATCAAACCGTGGCCAGCTTAAATTTAAGCAGAATGCCATCCTGTTCCATGAATATGGTTTTTGCAGTGAGGAACTAACTTTAACTGGTTTAACTTCAACTTTGCACAGCAAATATACACAAACCTACACAATTGAGGCGTTTTTACAGCAATAAAGTAACTTAGTTAGCAGGAAATTAATGTCCGAACTTTGATCGCTTTGATACATCGTTAATTTTAACCCGCCGCGAGGGGTCCGGGCGGCACTATTTACTGAATGTAGCAATTACTAATAGCAGGACCGGGATCAGGGATGAATTGGATGACACTCTCTCACCACTTAACTATTGGTTTTCTTTGTGTCGATGCCAAATTAAAATCACCAGGCTAAATACAAATAAAGCAGAACAGATTGATTAATCTGTTTGAGATAAAAGGGTATGGGATATAGTTTAGGATGAGACCGGGGAGGGCTATAATCTATCAAAGTCCGGTAAACATGAAACTAATAGAATTAAGTATTGCCGGGGGATCGCCGATGTTTTAATAAATGCCTCTACGGCGCGGCGAACGGAATTTGAATTTTCCAGGTGGGACAAATACTTTTTTGCCCTTTTTCTAGACGATCAAATCCGGCTCGCGCTGTGGCAACGTTGGCTGATCGGTCACGTTAAGACCATGTAATTTTTTTTTCGAAAAAATTAAATTTAAAATAAACATGCATGATTTTTAACAGAAAACTTGTTGGGAACCTCTGACGTTAGATAGGTCAGATATGCCGTGTTGCCGGTATTACAATGTCAAAGAAGATTTTTTTTTGGATATTTCGCACTCGTGAGATTTTGAAGGCAGTATATTTCTAACTTCAATATAGACCATAGGAAATTCGTGTTATTACATATGAGGGCGTCCTAGGGCAAACTATAAAGGAAAAACTTTCAGGTGATATAGCGGGGTATAACCGGTAAAGCTGTAACCCGTATCAGCTTCAAAACTAGCCGAGATCGATCATATATTGCGAAATCTTGTCAACGAGGAATAAATGGGATAATCAAGCACCTCATATTTCATCCGGAAATTGTTTATTTTTTATTTTTGTATTCTATCAGATACTCCAAGGGGTTCCATGCAATTAGAAAACTTTGAATACAGGGTGTTTCACGGTGACGGCCCATTAGAATTATTTCAGAGACTACTTCGATTTGAATTTTGAAAATTTGGGATACCCTTCTCAACTAAAATAATGGCGTCCACGTACCACTTCCGGTTATACCGGAAGTCACCATCAACTTGCTTATTTTAAATGGAACACCCTAAACGGGGACCGGTGTGGGAGAAGGGGCGGAATACTAAAAATATCTCTCTAAGTAAATGATAATATTTATCAGTTTGTTTAAGAAGAAGCCCGAGATGGATTAAAAAGGTTACATTTTAGAGTTGCCCCTTGAATGTTGGGCGATAAATCACTTGTAACAAAACAAAAAGAAGCGTTAAGCTTTATTTCGTCTTGAATTATTGTGCGACAAACCTCCGCTTCTTTAATTTATTTCATTCCGCCACAGGATTATAGTTACCTCAGTAAAATTTCTTCTTTCAGCATAGATAATTGATATTTATGTGTAGAAATGTATTTCCTGAGTGTTACCCCTACACTTAGAAAAGTATTAGTTTGTAAAAATTAAATTGTTAATTTGCTTACGATAAAGCAAGTTTTCTGTGAAAATACGGAAGGATCGAGTCACATGTTTGAGGAATTTCACTAAATTCCCTCAAATAATTATTCGTCTAAGCGTGAATTTTGAATGCGTGAAAACTGAGGGAAGTATTTATACTTAATTTAATAGAAAGGTGCTTTTTCCTTTTAAAGTTTAATAAAGGGGACAGATTGAGTTCACCCACATTACTCAATTGAAGACAAGATATAGGTTCGTTAAAATCCTCAACGGCTAATTATCAGTAAGCCGGCATTTTGCGTTTAGTAATTTATTATAATTTTCCTCAAACCCCCCGCCACCCTTTGAGGAAGTCTAATTTGCGTTTTGTTGGCATTCGGAAATGTTGTTTCTTTACAACAAATCGTCCTTGTGTAGGATCAAAAGTTGCCCATATTATGTGAATTTAATACCCACTAAATAAAGGGTCCTTTGAATAGAGCATAAACAGAGCCGAATTTCCTTTAATGGTAAAATCAACCGAAAGCTCTCAAGCCAATTTGTCGATGTAGGAACGACATTGGTATTTATAAAAAATGTTTAGACCTTAGAGAAACTTAAAGATACAGAAATAAAAAAGTGCCGCAATGTTCCATTCCCCGTGCGCATTAATTGAAAGGATTCTGCGTGGGACTAGGAATATTCGACATATCTCCACATAAGGATACATTTCTTTTTCTCCCTTTGTTTTGATTTTTTTCCCTTAGCTCCAATTTATTCCGAGCGTGTCACTTATTCCAGGCTCGTCCCGATGAAATGGATTAATTTAATAACATAAAATAATTTTTTCCTGTCCTCTATCCGCTGTGGATTTTTTTCCAATACCGCGCGAGTTCCGTGTTTGCTTTCTCTTTATTTTATCATATTAGGCCGCGACGTTATGTATTTTTCGATGCGATCGTATACTTACATACAGGATATCCCATTTTATAAACTTTGTGTTTATTGTAACGTACAGCCTTTGAAAATAATTCCCTACGCCACTGGACTCACAAAATTACTTATTAATACTTTCTATGTACACAATTTCTTTTAATAGTTGCAATGATCTTAAAATACGAAAAGAAGTGTTTACAAATTGCTGAAAAAAAAAAAACGTCGATGCTTGGTGATATATTTCGGGACGCGGGATCCCCGAACGGTTTTATAATAGCCCGAAAATAATCCAGATATATACTCCCAGCGTAAATAATTTATTGTTTTTATGGGGCGGATGGCCAAAAATAATAATAAAATGAAAAACGGCTGGTCATTATTTTCGCCTGGAAGAGAAGTGGTGCAATAACGTAAAAGTTACCGCCGATAATTCACGACACCACAATTTGATGGGATATTGCTCGAAAGGGGGCCGCATGTCCCTCTGTATCTGTTATTATTTACTTTCAAATCTAATGGTATCCCCCGTCACACCGCTGCTCTTCATTTCATAATTAATCCCGCCTCGTTCGCCAAAACCCAAGCCAAATGTAATGCCCGAAATGCCACTTCCGAAACCGTTTACAGCTGATTAACCTGGAATACCCAATATTCAAAATTTCACAATTAAAATTACCATAAAAATACAGTAAAATTACAATTTAAGCGCTACTTGTTGCCAGCCATACACATTGTCGAATTACAACTGAAATGTGTTGTAACATTTACACGGTACGGTGTTTATAAAGTCACATCAGTCGTTAGTGTAAAATTACATTGTAATGTGTAATGCATTACAATTATATGTATAATCTTTAACAATATAGAGGTAGATCATTAATATTTTTACTGTATTTTCCATTCCAAGAAATTCTACAATTAGTCAAAGTAAAAAATACATTACTATTGGTCTACAAGTCACATTAGTCGTCAGTGTAAAATTACATTGGACTACAGAAGAACGTACGTCCAATATTTATTTATATTACAATAATCTATTATGTAAATATAGAATTACATCATTACAATGCTTCCGAAGAAAATCTACAAATAAACTCGCTGTAAAAAATACATTAAAATACAACAAATACAATATTACTTGTTGCCACACGTATGCGTTGTCGATTTACACTTAAATGTGATTTAACAGTTACATTGTATAGTGTCTGTAAAGTTGCAGCACTCGTCAGTATAAAATTACATTGGACTTATAGAAAAATGTATGTCTACTGGATATTTGCTTTTATTACAATTAATTGTATAGTAGGTATATTTCCCAGAAAATAATCACAGAAATTGCCAATGCTTCTTAAGAAAACTCGCTCTAAAAAATACAGTAAAATTACAATAAAATGTTATAACAACTGTCAGTGTGTAAAATTACAGGGGAACTTACAAACATATATATTTCAGCTGTATATTTGTCATAAATGAAAAATTACTTCAAATTGTAAAATTACAACAGTCGTCAATGTAAAATTATAAGCAAATTACATTGAACTTACAGAAAAATGTATATCCACAGTAAATTTTTAATTTAATTTAGTTATAATTGTACAATATGTAACATAAATGAAAAATTATACCAAGCTGTAAAGTTACAACAGTCGTGTGTGTAAAATTACATAGAACCTACAGAAAAATGTATGTCCACTCTAATTTATTTAATTTAGTTAAAATCGTATAATCTGTAACATAACTGTAAAATTACAACAATTTTGCTTCTAAAAATGTTTGAAGTATTAACCTGGGTTGTAGAGAAAAGTAAATATGTATGTATTTTTGTTATTTAAATCGTGAGAATTAACTGAAATAGAGAAAAATTGTCGCAATGACCTACCGTAAAATTAATTTTGCTCCCACCGCGTTTTATTAGAAGAAAGAAGTCATAATAAAACACA